TGCATTTGTGTATTAGGTTTCTATTCACATTTGAACTTTCATAATTACAAACCATATTGTTTCATAACTATGATATGATGGCTTCAAGACTGGCAACTGGTGTCTTAAAAATTCTGCTCTGGGGCCAGCCGAGTGGCTCAGTTGGTTAAGAGCTCCCTCAAGAGTGTGAGCTCTGAGCAACACCGGTTCGAGTTCCGGCCCGAGCTGAGCTGCCGCTGAGCTGCCAACAGGTGGCAGGATGGCTCAGCTAAAAAAAAAAACAAATTCTGCTCTGAGTGTTTATCACTTGCTGATCATCTACTCCTTCACTTTCAGTCAGTGAAGGAGTTTATAGTTGTCTGTAAAACAAGACTCAAGTTCCTCACCCTGCCCCTTTCCTGAAGGCTCTGAAACAAGCACATAACTTTTTCAAAATTTATCAGTGTTTTCAGTGCTAATAATTACAGGAAAACAGAGATTAAATATCACAAACGAGGGGTCTCTAAGAATCATAAGAAGTCTTTAAAAGAGCTAATTATGGTTGTCCCTGGTCGTCATCTAAATATAAATGTGACTTAGGCCACTGTGTTCTAGCTCAATATTCAAACTTTCTTAGATGTTCTTAGAGGGGGATCTGTTTGTCATAGTGGGCCTGGACTATATGACCTATGTTTCTTGGAATTCTGAAAGTCTATAATCTCCAATCTCTATCAACTCCTCAGTTAACACCTTTTGCAATGTGTTTAATCAGGTGGAGGAGAAAGAACACAGACTTTGGAAGCCAGACAGATCTGGGTTTGAAATCCAGTGTCTTAATTTTTCAGAGATGTGTAACAAATTACCACAAACCTAATGGCTCCAATACATACTAGTCATCTCGCAGTTTCTGTGGGTCAGGAGTTGAGGCATGGCTTAGCTGGGTCCTGTGCTTCAGGGAGGGCCTCACAAAGTTATAATCAAGGTGTCAGTCAGGTGGGGTTCTTATCTGGAGGCTCAACTTCTAAGTAGTGACTTACTACTTGGGTGTATAGATTTATGTATTTCATCAAATTTGGGAATTTTTATCCACTATTTCTTCATATATTCTTTCTGTTCCTTTCTCTCTCCTTTCCTTCTGGGACTCCCATTATATGTATGTTGGCACACTTGAAGGCATCCCATACTCTTTTATTTTTTTTAGAGCTTCTCAAGGTATGGTCCTTAAGCCAGAAGCATCAACATCAACAACTGGGAAGTTGTTAAAAAATGTAAATTGTCAGGCCATACCCCAAATGTATTGAAAAAATTCTGGGATAAGGCTTAGCAATCTGTTTTTAACAAGCCCTCCAGGCAATTTTGATGCATGCTAAACTTTAAGAATCAATGGTTCAGGCAGTTTTGAGTTACTGATTTAGGCTAGCCATATGCCTTTCAATTAATTGATTAAGTAACTAATTCTAGTCCCAGTTATCAAACTTCTACTAGGTGCTAAGCACTCGGGATACAATACAAGGCACTATTTCTGCTCTAAATGATAGGACACAGTCCAGGCACTTACTGGATCACAAAGTATTGTTAGGAAGGCTGCCACATAAACAAGATATGAAAGGATATATATGCAAAGATGTACCTGTGAATAGTTATTGTGGGAGCCCAGAGGAGGAGCACTGGACACAGAAATTCATCCTAAAACTGGAGCTGTGTAAGCATTAGTTCTAGGCTGAGATGAGAAAAAAGCCCATAGGACTATTATAGTATGAACAAAAAAGATGATGAGACAGCAGATAGGTAGAAGTGGGGTGTTGAGCATCTTTCTCTATGGACTGGGAAGAATCCATTTCTACTCTGACCCCCGAATCAAATGCCCCATTGCTGAGCCAAGTATACTTTTATCCTTATTAAAATGGAAGTATTTGTGGAAGTGATAACAAGGCGAGGTATATATGTCATTTATCATTTAGTGTGAAAGAAGAATATGAGATTTAAAAATTTGTAATGGATAACTTCAAATATAAACAAAAGTAGAAAGAATTGTATCATAAACCCCTAAGTACTCATTATCAAACTTTTCAGCTAGTTGGCATGAGGACCAAATAAGATCATGTATTTAAAGCCTTTAGCATAGAGCCTTAATCTCAGTAGGCCTTCAATAATGGCGTCTGCACCAGTCAGGGCTCAATAAAAAAAAAACAGAACCACTCACTAGAGGTTTATTATAAGAATTTGACCTTGTGTAATTGTGGAGGCTGGTTTCACAGTCTATGTGAGGCTGTTATCTTTGTACCTGGCTTTGTATCAAAGTCAGCAGGATGAGCTGGAATCAAGCCTCCAAGCCTCCAACTTCAATGATGTGAGTGACCAGCAGAAGATGGTATTTTTTTGTCATGGGGGTAAATGCATAGCTGGCCCAGCAGTTGGAGTTGATAAAGTAGGATGAGAAGGGAGTTGGAGGAGCTACAGGCCTGGCTGATACCCTATGCCAATAAGGTCAGCATCAAATACATATATGAGCTTCAAGAGAGCCTGGTACCCTGCAGTGACTTTCCAACATAAAAAAATATGGCTATGACTTTACGTTTGCCTTTCAAATCTCATGCAAGATGTTTCTTTTGGCTTGCTAACCCAGAATTATGCAGAGAAAGGAGTTCAGGGATATGTAGTTTCCATTATCTATTACTGTGTAACAAACTACCCCAAAACTCATAGCTTAAAACAGGAACAATCATTTATTTAGTTCAGGAATATGCAATTTGGGCAGAGCTCAGTGAGAACAGCTCATCTGTGCTCTATATGGCATCAGCCAGGGTGGCTCCAAAGACTGGTCAGAGGCCGGTTGGGGACTGGAATCGTCTGAAGGCTTGCTCACTCCCATGTCTAGTAGTTAATGCTAGCTATCCGCTGGAACAGCTGGCACACTCTCTTTCTGTGGTCTCTCTGACATGGCAGCTGCATGTAGGCAAATTTTTTATTGGAGGTTCAGGGTTCCAAAGATATATGTTGAGA